TAAAAAAAAAAAAAAAAAAAAGCTTTGAGCCAAAAAACCAGAGACTTCTGAAACCTCAGAAACAAGACTGTTTCAGATGAATCACAGCTCTAAAACTGGTAAAACAACAAAATCTTGAGAAGCCAAGGTAAAGACGGGGGAGATGAGGTATCTACCAGAACTGACCCAGCCTCCTGCTGTGAGACCAGCTCGGTGACCACAACGGCTGGAGTCCCTAGCCGCTTCAGAACATGGCTCCTGTCCTGTACCAAGTGCCTACTGGCAGCTGCGCTTCCTGCCTGTCACACCTCCTGCTGAAATACTCACGGTCTCTAACAGCCAGACCACCTAGACCAGTGACCGAGTAAGACTCAGTGACCAAGGCAGCCCATGGCCCTCTCTGATGCATCCACCAAGGGAGGGTATTTCTAAACACCTAGAGGCAAGGCTGTGATGCAGAAAACATGCACAGCCTACCAATGGGGACAGGGGTGTCCCTGACCCCAGGCCTTCCCCTTCATCTTGTTTCTGTTGTCCCCGTGTGCATCCTGAAACCTCCATCCCTAGAACTCTGGTCACCGTCACGTCAGTCCTCCAACACCAGCTCATCTCCTGCTGCTTCTCTCTTCGTCCTTCCTTCCTTCAGGAGCCATCCTCCCTGCCCATGCCTACCCCGGCCTCCAACAGGGTCGCCCAAGACATTTTCACTTAGAAGCCCTACGGTACTTTAAGGTCGAAAGGTTTAAAACTGAGCTGAAACACAAAATAACATAACCAAAAAGCCCGCTTCCACTGCCCACTTCCTGCCTCCACCCTTTCTCCATTCTCGTACCCTGAAACCTGGCACCATCTCAGATGCCCCTCTCTCGCTCCCAGCCAGCCAGGAAGAGCTGCGTCTTCACTGCCCAGCTATTCTTCATCCCCAGCATCCCCGGCCCGCTGTCCAAGCCCCAAAACTCCTGCCAGCTGCCACCGTCACCTCCAGACATGCCTTTCTTCATGCCATTCCAGCACTTTACAGCCTCAGCCTGCCCAGGAAGCCTACAGTGCCCCGCAGCCAACTCGATCAAGTTTAGACAGGCCTTTCAAAGTCCCAGAGATCCTTCCCCACAATCCCTCTCGTCTTCCTGCCACCATGCACATATCCTATGTGAATTACCGCCCAACCAGGGCACCCGCCAGTGTCTCTGAGAAGGCTACCTGCGCTCCCTCTGTCATCACAGCTCTCAGGCAGGCACTACTACAACCCCTTTCACAGATGAGAAAGCTCGGACTTAGGAAGGTTCCGTTACTTGCCCTAGATCACAAAGCTGGTAAGTGACTGCAACACTGAAACTACCTCATCAGACTCCAGAGCTTCAATTCTACAATGCTGCATAACAGGGTCAAGCCAGACTCCAGGCCGGCCCACTCACACAGCGCTCTAATCTAAGATTGCTCTCTATTCTCCCACCAAAGCTCCCTACATCCCACCCAGCATCCAGGGTTCAATGGTGTCCCACCT